TAACTCCTCATAACTCTTATATTTCTTTAGAACTCTTGCAGACTTTCATGCCCAACAGTCCAGTTGTAAGCGTAAGATGTTCGAATTCTCCCTCTCATTATTGTGAGGAACCCCTCCGCCACCTCGTGAAGCCAATGAATAGGACCTACTCAGCGAGAGCTATGAACATATGGCCATTTGAGAACATTTCGAATGGAAGGCCAAAGTCTACTCAACCATCCCTCAGCCATACGAGGTCATTTATGGTATTTTGATAATACCTAAATTTTTCGAAACTATTCACAATAAATATATTAAAAGATACATCTATGCGAATAATATATCACTTACATGGTCTCTGCTGTCTTTATCAAATCCTCTGGATAAAAGAACTTTCACTAATTCTAAATGACCGCCACACGAGGCCCAGTGAAGAGGATTTCTTCCAGCCTATAATACGTAGAGAGATATAAGTAGCCAAATAGTAGAACCTGATCAATGTGTGACTTATTGGCATCGGATTCTAACAGTTTCACAACTGATGTCACTACTCCATCATAAGCAAATCGGCATACTGCTAAGTCTGACATTATTGACCATGTGTAACCTGTAAATGACAAGTGAAACAGAATAGAAATAAAACTTATTGTAAGTGCTATGGATAAGTGTCGAAAGTGGATAAAGTTGACAAAAGATATAAATCAATAAACTGACTGACTCATTGACTGGTTTCAGTATAGAGGCTTCCGTACAGGTCTCTGTTCGCTAGCCCTGGGACGGGATGGAAAAGGTGGAGGGGTGGTCAGTCCATGACATGGTGTCGTTGGATAAAGGATATTTGTGCTAGATTAGCATCGGTTGGTACGTCACGACTCCTTGGTTGGGGTCCGCGAGATAGCTCGAATCGATGGCTCGAAACGTTATCGGATATGGCCAAGAATCGTAATCAATGGCGAACGTGTTGCAATTTCCTTCTTTCTTCCCTTCCTGATGATAGTTAACGAATACTGTTTGAACTTGTTAAACATGACTGTTTTCTTTCCAGATGAAGTTCTTTATCCGTTTTCTACTTATATTTTTACTTTTAATCTATGTTGTTTTATTATTATTGTGTGGCGCATCTTTCTTGGTGCCATACTGTACCAAGTTTTTTCTGCGTTTAAATAAATAAATAATAAATAAATTCATAGAACTTTGCACAGATGTGCAGCAGTTCGAGTCACCACACTTCACTTAGCACACAAATCAAGAGAAGAAAGTAAAAAGGAACGCAAAATACAGACAGTAAACAGAGATATGAGACAAAAAGAATAGCAATATCGAAGAACAATGTAGTTTTATTGGGTATTGATAAGTCTCAAGAAGTGGATGCATCTCCGCCATCACTGAGAACGATTTTGAGCCAGCCATATCACTGATTGTGTCCAGTCATTGGTTCTTACCGTCCCGAGGACCCCAACCAGCCGGTCAGGAAGTCTACACCTCCCTACGTGACTGGCTAGCTTGAACTAAGTATTGTGGATTTCATTGACTAATGAAGCCATGTTTTGGTTTGACCACTACTAACCTTCTTCCAGCCTGACCCATGCATGCGTAACGCATGTCCTAACCATCTCAGTCGATGTAGCTTCGCAGCTTCGTCAATTGATTCCCCCTCCCACCTACCTAGCACTGGACGCCTAACCTCAATATTGCTTACCCTATTATACCACTTCATACGGCAGGTACCTATGATCAATAAATACCTGGATTCACTGGCTGATTGAGTTCCAATATACAACTCCGTGCACAGAAGTGAAGCAGTTTAAGTTACCACAGCCTCTATACCACACAAACGTAGCGAGAAGAAAACAAATTCACAAGAACTATTATGAGTAAGAATAATAACATTGAGAAACATGAAAGTTTGATGAACCTCGGAGATTACGTACAGTGAAGGCATCTGTACTATTGAGAACTATTTCGAGTCACATCACCAACAGTCTCAAACTACTGGTTCTCAACAACCCTGGAACTCCGACCAGGCAGTGTACAATGTCATGTGTGGCTCAAACCAACTGTCAAACATTTCATGCATTGATGCCATGTTTTTGATTCGACCACCCCTAACCCTGCCTCTAACCTAATCCTATGTCAGTTATTATTATTGGACGAGGAAGGCAATGGCTAGGCATGCGCAACACGTATCATTGACTGACAACTGTTGCCCTTAGCGCGATGATCAAGTTTTTAGATTGCATTGTATTCACGAGACGATCTTAATTAGAACTATTGTTCTTCAAGGCTATTCCCTGTCTTAAAGGTGGTAAGATGGGGCAGTAAGTGATATAAGAAGCAAGTACAAAGTTGGACACATTTCATTACCTGAGATGAGTTTAATACAAACAACAAAGTTTAATAAACCAGGATATAACGAATTCATTAGATTTTAGTAGGGCTCTTCAACTGACTACTCTACATACAAGGATATTTGAGTATACATCACTAGAATTACATTGGAGGACATAAAACTGATAAGATACCGAAAATTTCGAGCTAAATAATAGTGATAATAATAATGCCAACAATCCTCATTAGAATTCTTCAAAAGAATGGTTACTGAACAAAGAATATTGTTTTCAATAACTGCATCGTCAGCTTCTATAGTTATTTATACATAATAGTGAATTAGTGTTATTAACACCATTAATGTTGTTTAAATAAAATCGAGTTAATAATAATATCAATGGATTACAGTTCGACAGCACCAACATAACAATACACACTGAATACCAAACGAATTAGGAAAGATAATAATACAAATTCATGAATTTATAGTCTCTACTAAAGGCCATCCAGGGCAGTAGTAGTGACTAGCTGAACTTGCTCCTTTTGCACACAAAGCGCTGGTTGTTTCATGCCAATCGCGATAGCCTCCACCGTTTGGAGTATGCGGGACCTCGATGTTTTTGGCAATTTATTTGGTACCCAACAGATAATAGAGGATTCTTCAATGCTGGCTTTGAGGCCAGTTTGGACCAGGTGGTCTAATATCAAACTGTCAATGATTTTTACTACACCTTTACTCAGCCACACTAGTAGATGTTCCTGAGCACGAAAAATTAAGCTCCTAGAGCAACGGAACATTCATGTTGTTAATAGCACTAATTCATTCATTCAATATTATGTATATATAACTGTAGAACCTGATGATGAAGTCATCGAAAAGAACACTAATAATAGTAATAATGGTAGAACGAGTTAAGATAATGGTAATGATAAAATATAGTTTTTAATGAGTCAGAAATAGTAATAATGGGAGGTAGGATAAAGTGCTAATAATAATAATAGCGATTAATAAGTGAAACATGTTATCATGGTAGATTCAGAGCGACCACCACTTCCTGCTGTACACAAAGACCAGCAGGTTTATAAAGTCTAACTCATAAGCTTCCTCAGTTGCAAGCATTTTCCTGTTGTTTTTCTGCTGACAACAGTGTGAATGACTAGACAGCCCGTCAATGTCATGCCCATGTAGTCTACAAGATGCTTTGTTATTGAACTTTTTTTAAACTTTCAGCTTTTTTCAAGCCCTCTGACAAATGTTTCATCACGCGAGTAGACAATAGCCTTCCCATATGTACGACCTATGCATTTGCTTCCACACAGTTTGAAGTGTCAAGGACTGGCAACCAGTCTTTCTAAGATTGTTGAAAAACCCGCTTGGTAGTGATGTAATGATAGTCTGAAAAACGTGTGGTAGCATTAGCCTGCTTTAATTAAGCGACAAAAGTTCCAGTTACATTGGTTTTTCTTGTTTGAGAGGATGGGTTAGATGAGGGCAACTCCAAATATTCCATACTTAGTCTTTCTACAGGGCTATACGTCGACAAGTATGAGGTTCTCTAAAAACGGAGGCAATGTTAAAACAGAGTACACCTAGCAATGACTTATGTTTTTGACCTTAAGCAGGAGCAGCAGTTTAATTTACCACACTGGATAAAAACACACAAGTAGGCAGAGGGAAAACAAACGAAATGCATGAGAAGGAGTAATTACATGAAGAATAGTGAGAATTCAATGAATCTGAAGGCTTGCGAAGAATGAGTACATCTCCGCCAGTGGCAGCAATTTCCATTCACGTCACCAATAATCTGCAACCATTGGTACTTAGCATCTAGACAAACCCAGTCAGAGAGATGGTATAATAGGGTGAGGCGTCGATTGAATGTTAGGTAAGGAGAGAAAATCTGTCGATGAGGTTGTGAAGTTACATCGATTGAGATGGTCAGGATATGTGTGTTACGCATGCATCCCCCTAGCCATCAACATCTTCCTCGACGGGCAATGTTAGCTGGCTGACATATGATCAAGTTTGACAAGAACTAGTGGTGGTTAAACCAGAACATGGCTTCATCAATCAGTGAAATTCATAACAGTTAGTTTAAGCCAACCAGCCAGCCTTGTAGGGAGGTGCTATCTGGTTGGCGTCCTCGGGATGGTAATAATCAATGAAGGCTGGAGATATTTGGTGATTTCTCTTTAATCTCTTCTCTTGCGTTGTATGCTACATGGAGGGAGAGTGACAACTCGAAGTTCCGCACGTCTGTGCAAAATTAAAGTATCAATTAAAAACCAGGGAGTACTGGACAACTGTTTCATCCTAGTTTGGACATCACCAGCAGTACGCACCAATCGCCAGGGTTCGAACCCAGGACCTGTTGGTTACTAGGCAATCTCGTATACCATTCAGTCACTGGGACCCGATTCAATGGCCAGCCCATAAATTCTAACTTCTGCGCCAATTCATGACATAGCGGCGCGACCACTTCGCAATGTCTTCTTCTTCTTCGATGAGTTACTGTCCTCACTTTCAACCAGCTGTACCCTACTGGTCACGGTTCAATAACAGGTATTGGTTTCATACATTTTTTCTTTTCTGAAGGGTTCAAGTTTATTCATGAATAATGGCGTTAAAGTTAACAACAACAAAATTTTCTTTTCATGTGTATATCTTTGTAACTAACCTTTATATATTTCAGTTAGCTAAACAACTATTAGAGTGTGGTGCTAAAGCAGATGTACACGATTGGGGTGGAATTACACCATTGCATCGGGCTATTGCTACAGATCACCTTGAGATAGCAAAACTTCTTCTGGAGTATACAAGCATGGAAGACGACAATGTTGGCAATGAAGTGGGAGAGAATGAAGATAAAGACACTGGCCGAATGTATTCACCACTGGTTAACTTGACAGATAAAGAGAAAGCAACACCTTTGTAAGTGTGGCTTTTTTTCTAATTTTTACTTTGTTATTATTAAAATAGAAACATGGTACATTTAATGGGCACTAAGGGATGCGCCACACCAAATCTCACACTTTCTACGAAGGTTGGAATACCGTCCGGATTCTTAGACTGAAGGAGGTGGTTATCCTTAGGGGTGTCACGCCGAGATCCTTTGACTTAAAGTCGGATCCATAAGGTAGGGGAGCAGTGTCAGGACCTACGTTCTCATGGTTTTCGGTCATACTATTATTATTATTCCCTTGTGTTCCGAGTGGAACATAGGGCTTCAACAACACATCTCCACTTTATTCTGTTTTCCGCAGTCCTCTTCACCTGGGTCCAAGATTGACCAGACTCTTTCATCTCTACCTCACACGATCTCCTCCAGGTCACCCTCGATGTGACGACCAACTCTTCGCTTCCCATTGGGATTCCACTCGAGCGATGGCCTGGATAGCGCATGATGGTCATTCGACGACCTCCTCAATGTATGCCCGATCCATCCATCTCCCCTTTCTCCAACATGTTTGTTGAGCGATCGGCTATTGGTTGGTTTGTTCCCATAGTTTCTCGTTGCTTATTCTTTCTGTTCAGCTGGCCATTTGATCTTCAGTATGGAGCCAGCGAAAGCAGCTGTTGATAAAGGTCTTCAACCTTTTGGAAATCCTTTTCGTGAGACGCAATGCAAGTTTATCACCCGTATAGAAGGAGCGACTTGACATTGGTGTTGAAAATGCTAGTCTTCTTCCTTATGCTGTGTCGATGCGGAAGATTTTCAAACTGGTTTCAGGTTGATGAAGGTGTATCTTGCCTTTCCGATTCTAACTGACTGGCTGTGACATCTTCATCTGTTCCGACTGCCTGTAGTCGAAACGATGCTTCCCAGATAATTGAAGGAAGCAACCTCTGTTAACTCTCCTCCGTTAATGGTGATTGGTGCTGGTTGTTGTTAGTGTTGCTGTTGATTGGTTATCTTCATCACCTCTGTCTTCTCTGTGTTCACCTGCAGTCTTGTTTTCGCTGCCAGCCTCTTCAGTCAGTTTGTTGCTTTTCGCTTGCAAGTCTTCGAGTTTATGTGACATTAGGCATGTATTATCTGCAAAATCCAGGTCTTCTAGAGTCTTGTTGGCGGTGGTCCAGCGTATTCCTGACTCCTTGCTCCCAACACACAGTCTGACGCATAATCCAATCCACAATTAAGAATATCGTCGGTGATAATAGACAGTCTTGTCTTACTCCTGTATGCGACCGCCGTATTCGAACGCCTCGCTAAGTTTCCTGGTGTGAATCACCTGACACGTAGTGTAGACAATTCCAAATTACTTCTCGGTCAACGCTGTCTATCGAAGTCCTTTTTGAAGTTGAGTTAGAGGTTTGGCTGGCATTCTATGCTTTGTTCTGTGATGACGATGCGTACAGTTGCAGTTTGATCAGCACATGATTTGTCTTTTCTGAGTCTAGTGCATCCTTTATTCTCTCCATGATGATGCGATGTAGTATTTTACTTGGCGTGGACAAAAGCATTATTCCACACCAGTTCTTTTCTGTCATAGAAGCAGGTTTATACACCATTCGATCTTTTCAGATTTTGGAGCCTATTTACACATCATGGATTTTTATTTTCTTTTTTTTTTGATTACAGCTTGATTCCACACCGTATTTTTTGGTATGGAATTTTCAGCATGTGACATCGGTAGCCCAAATTTTGCAGGCCCACTATAGATATCAGAGGTGTGCGCCGGCCAGGGATCGAACCCCGAACCATGTGCATGGTCGGCGAAAGTCCTAACCACTGTGCCACCGAGATCGACCGGTTGGTAGTTGTGTGTACGTAAACCAATAAGCCACCTATCCGCTGATACATCTTGAGCATGGGATTAATTACCAAGTGTCGGTGTACAGGGATCTGTAACCTGAAGTTTCTGGATTCGAACCCTGCCGATGGGTGCGTACTGATGAAGAGTCCCAAACTAGGACGAAACAGCTGTTTAGTACTCCCTGCTAATCTACCAATGGTTGTCTAACCGATGCCATCTCGTGATCATTCCTGTAACAGCGTGAATACCTAGCCAATAGTGTGTTACTTATTCACATCGCACCAGTAAGAAACAGCTACATTAATAAATGACCTTGAGTTAGCCAATCAGATTCATCTTGGGAAAAGGTGGCATTTATAGTATAAAAAGTATATTTGCAGGACGTATATATATATATACATATATAATGAATTATACATGGTATATATCTCTAATATGCTGCAAAAAAGAGGTCCCAGTTTTCCGTAGGTGTGACTATAGACAAATCAAACCAATTCGATTGAATTTTAGATTTTCCTGTCGATTGATTGCAGCGAAGTGCTCGGTCTCAGGTTCACATGCCGGCCTCTCGTGCAGATGCTTCGAAGATGTCTGGGTATGTAATTAGAATTTGATTGGTGGATGGTGACTAATAGTGGGAACCAGCTGATGAGTCCCAAATAGGACGAAATGCACGTTATCCTGGATTCCACTGCTAGTCACCATCCACCAATTAAAATCAAACCAATGTCAATACAAAAAATGACTTTATATCAATATCATTTTAGGAACCATTTACCATTGTAATCTGTTCCTCTAGATGAGCCTAAAACCTCTGAATAGAATTTGTATGAGTTCCACTTTAAAGGCTCCACTAATTCAGAAGAATAATTGACTTAATGATGCGAATATAGCCTAATGATGATAGTTGTGAATAACCTTTCCCCTCGGTCTGTGTGGATGGTAGTGCCTGGGAGGACTAGTCGTTGTATTATTGGTAGGTATTAAGACCGACCGAAAGCTGCTACCTTGACGTGGTGGTCGGGCTTGAACACCGCAATGACCCAACAAGCTATACTGGCTAGAACTTATGTTCCTGTAGGTCCTACCATGCCAGAAAGGTTGTTTGGATAGCGGTTACACAAAAAGCAGCTACCCAATCCAATATTATGACTCAAACAAATTCACAAAATATCATGCCGGATCGGTCGGGGCCCGGATTAACAACGACCGCGCTTTCTGCTGCCGTGTCACAGGGCAGAAGTGATAAATACGCTACTGAGACACACCAAATAAAAAATTAAGACATCAGGACTTCTGTTTGCTCTTCTCTTCTGCCTCGATTCATTTTTCATATGATAAGAACTGGTTCGTCAGTATGATGAACGACGATACCAATTTGTCCAAGTACACAAGTAATTCCATTGATCTTTTGTGAAGCAATATCGTGACAACGCTGATGACACTGTACTACTTATATTTTAGTATTCTCTATTTCCTCAGCTGTAGCCGATACTGATCGTCACGGTAGCCATTTGTGGCATATACACAATATTTTAGTAAGGCGATAGAGTTTCGATTTTGAAAAAAAAAGGTATGCGAAAAAAAATCACAACGATGTATAACACTCATAGATTTCATACATTTATTCCCCTTAATGAATTTGAACAAAGCAAGAACTACAGTTTTAGCAGAATAAAATGGTACCATCATTGCTTATTTCGATGGCTTCTCATCGGCTGCTTACAGGTCAAAGACATTATTAAATGTATCTACAAAAACAATTTTAACACACTTGCACAGAGTTCATTTTAAACAAAAATCAATCAATCAATATACGCATACACTAATAATATATACAAATATATATGTAATATTAAACACTATTCCGAACAATAATAATCATACACAATGAAAACTTTTCAGCATCTCGCATTTGGATGAAAAATATCCAGTTACCACGGCAAAGAAAGACTGATAACCGCTTCTTTCTGAACGCATAAATCAGGTTTCAGGCGCTTGATGGAAATGGCTTCAGCGAACTTGAGGAGAATTGAGCTCTTTTGCTTATTGATAATTTTGAACGACTTTTCAACGTCCACCTCATGACCAACCCGTGTGAAGGAGATGCCTGGCGATGGCACTGCCTAAAGCATTTGTTCCCTCTAGACATAGGCTTTTTGGTACATGTTCAGAAAATCGTAGGTGTGCCCTCCCTTCTGTCCTTCCAATGTAACTGCTCCCGCAGATACATGTAAATTTGTATATACAGTTAGAGCTAACATGAGAAGGGTATCTATCGATTTTTGATTGCATCAAAGAGCAAGTTGTTCGATAAACGGGAACGAGCTTAGCTGCAGGATAGGCTATGGCTAGTGACGTACTCAGCCTTCTGTTGATCATTGCTGCAATGTTTTCACCTTTATAATCAAGCTGAATGTAGATTGGCTTTTTACCCACTGTGATTTGTTTTACATTTGTAACTTCAGATCTTTCATACTTGTTGATGAACCTTTGAGGGTACCCATTGCTCTTCAATATCTTTTCAAGAAACTCAAATTCTTCCTCTAATTTCTCTATAGAGCATATTCTCCTCGCTCTATAGTACAGAGTCTTGACTAGTCCGCGTTTAAAGCTATTTGCACAAAAGCTAATAAAATGTAGGTATTGTCCTTTCCATGTAGGCTTTCGATAAATTGACTTTTGAAGACTACCTACTTCTAGGCGTTGTATGGCAATGTCGAGTAAGTGAAACTTTCCGTCACTTTCATGTTCCTGTTATGGTGGTGATCGCCTCTGAATGCACAGTCATCAGCAACCTGATAATAATACTTCTGAAAAGTCATTATCCCTCCACATGTGCATGTGTTTTAGCCTTTCCAATCATCAACCTATTTTCCACACGTTAGAAGTCAAAGCAAAACTGATTGAAACTTGCAGTGATCTGATTGGTTGGTTCAAGGTCATTCGACGGTGGTATCGATTTTTTATTTTTTACCATTTGCACATTTATGGAATAATAAATAACTTGTGTTTTCTCGCTGTCTCTCTATCTCCCTTATTTATCTTCTTCTGTTCAAGACATTATGCGTGTGAAGAAGGCAGTATACCAGCTGTTAGCCTATTGGTGAATTATGGAGCCTCGTTTACATGTAAAAATAAAGTAAGTTGGTGTACATTTTTCTTAAATCAGAATATGCGAATGGTTCACTCACTGAGTAGTTGAATTTAGGCTAATTCATCTTGAAGGGAAGTCAGACTGATAATGATGTGGTTCCATTTAAAACGATATTTTTTATTCAAGTGTTGGTTTGTAGGGATTTGATTGGTTACAGGATTTTCATCATGAGCTGACATTAGTTAGAGAACCAGTCAGGGAATACTGGACAGCTGTTTCGTCCTAGTTTGGGACTCTTCATCAGTACGCACCCACCGGGATTCGAACCCAGGACCTTTTGGTTACAAGGCTAGCGAGCTCGTATACATTAAGCCAGTGGGACCCGATCCAATGGCCCATGAATTCTAACTTCTGCCAATTCATGACATAGCGCGACCCCTAGCCAATGTCTTCGGCGAGTATTTGTCCTTACACCCGACCTGCTGCACCCTACTGGTCACGACTTCTATTATTCCATTGGGTTCCTAGTGGAAAAATAGGGCTTCAGCTGCATATCTTCATTTTACTTTGTTCTCTGCAGTCAATTTAATCTGGCTCCACAACTGCACCTAAGTTGTAATCTCCTCCATGTTACCCTTGAAGTGTTGCCCAACTTGATGGCCTGGTTGGCGCGCAGTGTTATTCAGCGGTGTCCTAGGCGTGTGTTTCACCCATCTCCATTTCCTTTGACATATGTGTGAACAGTAGGTTCTTGGTTTGATCGTCTCTAATCGAAGACTTACAAGCGAAAACCGACAAACTGGTCGAAGAAGCAGCCAGAGAAGACAGGACTCCAGGTGAACATAGACAAGACGGAGGTTATGAAAATAACCAACTAACAACAACAACAACAGCAGCAACATCCAGCACCAATCATCATCAACGGGAGGGATTTGAAAGAGGTTACTTCATTCTCTTATCTAGGGAGGGAGCATTGTCTCAACAACAGGAGGAAAGGACGAAGATGTCAAATCGAGAATCGGGAAAACGAGAAACACATTCATCAACCTGAAACCAATCTGGAAATCTTCGTCACTCAGCCTGCATCGACAACAAAATGATTCGGATTTTCAATACAAACGTCAAGTCAGTCAGTTCTTCTATATGGATGGATCAGAAAGTTGGCGGGTCACCAAGAATATTTCCAACAGCCTGTTGCAGACCTTTATCAACAACTGTCTTCGCTCTATACTACTGAAGATCAGATGGCCGCGAAAGAATCACCAACAAGAAATTATGGGAACAAACAAAACAAGAACCAATCGTCCAACAAATATGCAGGAGAAAGATGAAGATGGATTGGACACTCGCTGAGGAGGCCACTGGGTGACATTGCGCGTCAGGCCAATGCTCGAGTGGAACCCGAAAGGGAAGCGGCGAGTGGGACGTCAGTGCAAGGGTGACATGGAGGAGATCGTGTGAAGAGGAGTTGAAACAGTATGGATTAACATGGATGCAGGTGAAAAGTACAGCAGAAGACAGAAGCAAGTGGAGACATGTAGTTGAAGCCGTATGTTCCACTAGGAACCCAAGGGAACAATAATATAATATATGATAAGAATTTACGTCCCAAATCGGGGTCATGAGAAAAAAAAACAAGAACAAAGCCTAACCATGAGGATCTCAACAACCAATCACAGCAGACTTAGCCTGGGCGGATACGATTAGCAGATGTATATCAACGGGCTGTCTAAGAAACGGCAATAAATAGACGACAGAATAACCTTCAGCAAGAAAACAAGCAATCAGAAGACGTTGCTTCTCTGCTAACAATAACGCTAATAATAATGTACATAGAAATCTACAAATATCTGTTGATTTTCTCAATAAACGATCTGTTGCCTGGCCCTTGTCTTCTGTCGTTACAAATATACTCAATTCGTTGCAATTTTCTATCTCCTTCTGTGTAGTAAAATTGAAAAGTTGAAAATGATATTGTTATGTTTTACAAAGACTTTTGAGTGTGCACGCGTTTTGTAGGGATAATAGCCTGCTGCACCAGTGTATAGATGAATTTTCAATCTCTATAGGTATTTTTTTCAAATGTGGAAGATACTTGTCATCAGCACATTGACTGACTGGTTTCAACATAGAACTTCGCACAGATGTAAAAGAGTTCGAGTTGCCACTCTTCATCCATGTAGGACACAAGGCAAGAGAAGAGAGTAAAGAGAGATAGTAATCAGAAGTGTGAGTGAGGGGAAAAGAAGAGTAATAAGGAAGAACACTGGAGTACTTCGATTCGATATGACAAATGACAAAGAGTGAATGCATCTGCGTCAGCCACTGAAAACGATTTTGAACCATATCACCAGCTGTCTCCAGACTTCATTGGTTCTCATCATCCCAAGGACCCTCAAACAGACAGGAAGTCTACACCTCGCTAAGTGAATGGCTGGTTGGCTTAAACTAACTGTTATGGATTTCACTGACCATCACTACTAGATCTTTTCCATCCTGATCCATCCTTTGTCTGTCAGCTAACATTTCCTGTCTAGGAAGGCGTCGACTGATTTTCCCTCACTTTATTAACACCCAACTCCTAACTTCACTATTACTAACATCACACGGGAGATAGAACACAGACACTTACGATCAAAGACAGCTAGCCAGGCTTTTCCTATCTTCCATTTTCAATAACCATGTCTCACTCACAGTGATAAAAGAGGATGGATCGAACCGCTGAGCAGTACACACGTTCTTTGGTCGACAGCCAGTGGAATATCACGCCAACTAAGCCAGAGACGGCGTCAGTTGGCATATCGTCAAGGATGTCCACTTTCCCCTTTTCTGTTTAACTTCATCATAGATATGCTAATGGAAGTATCCTTAACTGAACTTAACGACTTAGGAATCGACTTATTACCAGGGAATAGTCTTATAGACTTAGAATACGCAGACGACATAGTCCTGTTAGGGGAGGACGCTGACAAAATGCAGAGTCTTCTGAACACCTTGAGCAGCAATCTTCGTATGTTTGGCATGCGATTCGCCCCTATGAAATGCAAGATGCTGCTACAGGACTGGACTACGTCAACTCCTAGCTTAGTGATAGGGAGTGAAGTGATAGAACATGTTGACCACTTCACCTATTTGGGAAGTTGTATCAGCACCAACGGATTGATTGGTGACGAAATCTCAGCACGGATCCAGAAAGCTTGGGCTGCTTTCGTTAACTTACACCGTCTCTGGCGTAGGCGTGACATTCGGCTATCAACCAAGGGACGTGTATACTGTTCATCAGTTCGCTCCGTCCTTCTCTATGGTAGTGAGACATGGCCATTGAGAGCGGAAGACATGAAGAGATTGTCTGTTTTTGATCATAGATGTCTACGATCTCTTTCTCGCGTTAGGTGGTATAATAAGGTAAGTAATGTTGACGTTAGGCGTAGAGTGTTGGGCAGAGAGGGAAAATCACTCGAAGAGGCTATGAAGCTACACAGATTGAGATGGTTAGGTCACGTGCTGCGCATGCCTAACCATCGTCTCCTCTGATGGACGGGCATTACTAGCTGATATAGGTGCAGGTTAGAAAAGAGTAAGTGGTGGCCAAACAAAAACATGGCATCAATCCATGAAATACCTGGCAGTTAAACTGAGTCAGGTAGGGAGATGCAGACTTCCGAGTTGGGGCCCTCGTGACTCTAAGAATCAATGGCTGGAGACAATAGGTGAGATGGCTCAAAATCGTTGTCAATGGCTTATGCAGATGTATTCAGTCTCTTTAACCTTCATATTCCTTTCTACCATTACTCATTCTGTTTCACTCTTATACTTGTCAAAACTCTATTGATTCTCTTCACTCATTTTCTTGTCCACCTTTGCGTGCTATTTTGGAACGTGGCAACTCGAACTGCTGCACTTCAGTGCCAAGTTCTATGTTGAATCCAGCAGCAGTTGGCATATGTCGTGCTGGGATTTCGTCAATGATCAACCGGCTGGGGCTGATGCAACTGCCCACCTAAATAAGTGAAGTGGTCAACACGCCGCACCACTTCTTTTTTCTTTGTGTTTAAGCTAGTAGTCGGTGTACCTCAGCCCAGTCCTGTATCATCATCTTACATTTGGCTGGTGCATATCGCCTGCCAAATATTTTAATATTGCTCCTCAAAGTGTTCAGAAGACTCTGTTGGATTCTGTCAGCGTCTTCACCCAACAGGCAGGAGTATATCATCTGCATATTCTAAGTCAGTGAGCTTAATCCCTGATAAAAAGTCAATCCCTGAGTCGCTGAAGTCATTCAGGGTCCATTAGTACATCTATGATGAAAAAAAACAGAAATGGGGATAGTGAGCATTCCTGACAGACACCACTGGTTTTCATCAGCTCAACAGAGCATACGAAAAAGTTGGTGGATATCATCGTGCCATCTCACACGACATGTATTCTATGGCTTAGATTATAGTTCAAAGTATTTTTATGCCATTCTTTTACCTGTTTCTACTTTTGATTCCCCACCCTCCTTTTTTTCTCCTCTCCGACAGGATGATAAAACACCGATAGATGTTGCACCGGACCACCTACGCTTGAATATTTTAAAACAATTTAAAGTTGAACACTGCACACAATAACAAAACAAAATTTCGAACCGGTTACATTTGTGCCCCCTTTCCCTTTTTGCCTTGTTTATAAATTTTTGTACATGTGTTGCATTTTATTATGTGTGATATAGAGAGAGAAAGTTGAAGAAGTCCATTGCTGTGAACTGTTTAAAATATACTTTTTATGTATATGATATTGAATTAATTGTCAGCCTGTTGATAACACATGCATGTGCGTTGGTGGTTCACCGATAGAATGCGCTCGCCAATCATCCACGAGGTTCGATTCCCGACCGGCATACAACTTTACCTCCCGTAGCCAGTTCTAAGTCCCCCATTAAGAGGGAAGGTTGGGTGTGAAGCTAGCAACCTCCTCCCCCCTCACTGTAAAAAGACATGATTACCATTGAAACTTCCATCTGGGAAGGCATAGGAATGATATGAAACGACTGTATCTTTGCCTGTCAAATGTCAAAATGACTGCTCCAAACTAAATGGCTTTTTATCAGAAATCAGCCAGTGGTCCAAGGAAAACGGTCTTACCTTAAATCCCTCTAAATGTCAAACAGTCAATTTTACCTTTAGGCATAAATCTAACCTAAACAAACTGGTTAGCACTCACGAGGTGTGCAACATAGATGGCACTGAAATAGAGACCAAGTCGGAAATTAAATATCTGTGCATAATTCGATCTGCTGATCATTCCTGTTTGTCTCATATTTTGATAATTTCTAAGAAAATATTCCGTCTAACCTTCTACATCAAAAAGTTAAGACATTCTGGAATAACCCAACTCTTACTCCTACGATTCGTTAACTCTTGCATCCTGCCTATTATTCTCCATTGTTCCCCCTTAGTTTTTCCAGGGCTACTGAAGAAGGACTATATCTCATTACGTAGGGTGTTAAAGGTTTTCAGCAGGGTAAGCAACGTGCCACTTAACCACCTTGTTAATATTCTGGTCGACAGGCACATGGACTCATGTAAAAAATGGGCCAAATCCATTTTATCTAACTCACACCATCCTCTTCATTAACAACCTCCTATTGCATCTCATCAGGCAAAACCAGAAGCCTATATAGAAAACTATATGCTCGCACTATCAAGTACAAAAACTCAACCATACCCTACTTGGCTCATGTTCTGTGCAATGAAGAAAGCATTAGGGGTGAAACTTATAGCTTATTAAATAGTCAGTAGAACAACTGGACTTCGTCTTTCCAACTCATATCATTTATAGGTACAACATTTTCTTTCTTTCTTTTCCTTTTCTCTCTCTCTTTTTCTCCTTATTTTTTGTTATGTGCTGCTTTGTTTCTTTCTTCCGCTTACGCCAGTAAATATGACAGCACTTTTCTAACACCTTCAAACACTGTTCAGCTTTACCTCTGCTACCGACATGCCAATATGTTGTTGTCATAATGAACTGAGATTTCCTTAATCTATGTAGAATTTTATTTATTGATAATGTACTAACTGGATGCAATACTGTAGTAAAATGCTGAGAATTCCATTCTGTATCACAAGTACTGTTTTGGAATAAAGCAAATTATTATTAATTATTTCGAACAATCTGATCGAAAAGGATTTAAGAAATAATTAAAACCCTTCTTGTGGCCTACGTTCAGATGGTTTGCCTAGCCTTATTCTTAAAGAGTGTGCAGATATCCTGTGTTATTCTCTCATGGACATATTTAATGATTCTTTTTCCAGAAATGTCGTGCCAGCAGTTTGGAAGGACATTAAAATGGCACCTTTACTTAAGTCATCTACTAGAACATGTATTAAATTTAGACCTATTGCTACTACATCTCGTTTTCTAAAAACTATGGAAAAGTTACTCTTACTTAATCCCCATCATTCGCTTAAAGCCTTTGACGATCCCAAAAAATTCGCCTATAAACAGAGTAGAAGTACTTTAGATGCAGCTGGAGTCTTGCATCATAACGTTGTCTCCAGTTTTGACAAGGCGGCTAAATTTGTTCGCTGCACCTTCCTAGATTACACATCTGCCTTCGACTCAGTACCTGGGGATACTTTGTTAAACAAGCTTGCTGAAACTCAAACTGACTGTCGGGTTGTCAAATGGCTCCATTCTTATTTCTCAGGAAGAAAGCAGTACACTGTATGTGTCACGGAAAGTCGTCCACTTCATTGCTTACTGAGGCTGGCGTCCCTCAAGGCGCTGTCCTTTCTCCTTTTCTGTTTTCTTCCTTTTTGCATGACTTGTCTCACTCTGATTAAATGAACTTTCTTAAGTATGCGGACGATTTAACTGTTTCAGTACTTGTTAACTCCCAGCTAAACTGTACTAAGATGAAGAGCTTTCTACCAGGAGTCAGCAAATGGTCTTAAACTAAATCCCCCCAAATATCAGACTGATAATTTCAGTTTCCGATGTAAAAGAAAGTTAAATGAAGCTGTTGGTTCCTGTGACCGTTACAAAACTGATGATACTGAAATAGAAACCAGATCTGAAGTTAAGTATCTTGGATTAATTCTATCTTCTGACCTATCCTGGTCTTCTCATGTATTAGCGATTTCTAAAAGAATATTTCGTCTGACTTTTTACATTAAGAAGTTAAGGCACTCAGGCATAACTGAACCCACCCCTTCTCTTATCGTTTGCCAACTCGTGCATATTACCTACTCTTCTTTACTGTTCACCCTTACTTAATCTTCTCTGGATTGCTTAAAAAAGACTATGTCATACTTCGTAGAACTCTGAAGACTGTCAGTGGGGCTAATGGTATCGCATTGGGCTATATCGTTGACATCGTCACTGACAGGCACTCGATGTCATGCAACAAATTTGCTAGAGACATTTTTCAGACTGGGAATCAACCGCAGCTCCAACCTTGTGTCTCCTCAGGTAAAACAAGAAATCTTTTCAGAAGACCTTATGCACGTACGTCTAGGTATAAAAATTCCACTATACCATATTTGGCACGTACTTTATGTGATGAAAATAGTGTTAGGCATGAACTAACTAACTGACCTTCTTTGCACTACTAAATAAACCATTTTCTCCAACCTTACAGCATCAAGCTTTATTGTTATTGTACTTCTCTTTCTTATATGTATAATCCTCTCAATTTCTTGTTTTTATTTGTTTATTTTTTTCATAAGTGTGAGCATCATTTAAGCTGTTATAACTGTTAATTTTGCATTTCCCCTCACCATACTATATCAACAGAACATAAGATTCAATACTCTATGACATGCTAAAATTTCCAAACTAAACCGCCAATACCGTTTGAAACAAACTCACTGTTATCACTATTATATTTATTTTGTACTTCGAATAATTTTGAATTTATACCGTAAATGTGGACAAATTCCTCTGGCTAATTTTATTTTAATTATATTTTGAGTAAATCACATGCAATATTGTGACAAATGCTGAGAATTCCATTCTGTATTATGAGTACTGTCTGTTTTGGAATAAAGTAGATTATTATTATTATCTAATCAGATAGGAATTACCAAAGTAGGTTAAGCGTAATAATAAATTGATTTCATACACACAGGGGGAGCTTAAATTTACGAATGGCTATCGCCTAAGCGTATTTCAATAAGCGCCCTTGACCGTTCTTAAAAATAACGTTAAAAGCTATTCTGACATTAGTCCTACGGTTGATATCGTGTAGATGTTTTGGCTATAGACGAAAATGGTAGTCTGCCATCTGCGGACTGTCGACTGTCCAAAGTTCATTTGTTTTTCTAACCACTTCAGAAATATGCTCTCCCATCCTAACATGCAAAGCGCGATTACTCCTCCCTAGATGTGTGCACACACACAAACACACGTAGATTGGTAAATAGTGTGCATTTCTGAGGTTTGCAGTGCGGCATACTTATGGCTTTTTCAATAATTATAAACCAGGCTGCATAAGACGTTCTACGGATGATCGAGTTTAGTCTCTGTTTTAAAGTCCTACTATTTACTTCCCCATTGCATGGTAATTTAATGAAAACATCTTTCTTAGGGACAGAATAGATTGTAAGTTTTAAAACTAACTGACTTCTACACCGGTTTACAAAATTTCGAAGGATATCCCTTTTCAAAAGAAGTATCCATCAGTACTTTATTTAGATGCTCTATAACATCAGCTGTACAAATACGCTGAATTCTATTGAATAAACACTTCACCAAGCCTCTCTTACACTGTAGCAGACAGGAGATATGAAAATTTATATACTGTCCTGTTCAAGTAGGCTTTCTGTAAACTGCTCGTCTTATTGAACCATCGTCTCTCCGACTAAGAAGTATATCGGAAAATGCAAGCTAGTTGTGACTTTCTTCCTCACACGTGAGACATCTACAAAGTGAAGTCTATCTAGTAGACGAGTGGCATCCTCAAGTTCATCGCACAACAAAATAATGTCATTTACATATCTCCTATACAAAAGCACTTTAGCAATTAAACCAGAGGACGAGTTTTCAAACATGAGATATATAAACATCCGCCAACAAGGGTCCTAATGGACTCCCCAAAACAAAACCATCCACTTGTCGACAGTGCTCACCTTTAGATATGATCCAAAAGAGCAACAATGAGTAGCAAAACGAATAGTAACATAGAGAAACGGGAGGGTTTAGTGGATTTGGGGAGGAGATTACCAAGGGTGATTGCGCCATTGACAACAATTTTGAGTCATATCACCAAATATCTCGTGCCACTGGTTCTCAGCGTCCTGAGGACCACAACCAGACAATTTACACCATCCATCCAGCCCTACATGGCTCAAACTAACAATGAAAGACGTGGTAGAATGATATCAGGTTTTGTTCTGACCCCCCCCTTAACACTTTCAACCTAATCCAATGCGAATTGACATTGCTCACCGAAGAAGAAAGTAACTCGGCGCATAAGCGACACGTGTCTTAGCCATCTTAATGGATATAGCTTCACAACGTTATCGATTGCCTTACCCTCCTTACTTACCACTAGTCTACGTCTAATTCCAACATAAGGTGTAAATATCTGTGGTCAAATACAACCAGTATTTTTGTACTTTTAACGGCTATGTCACACAGTCATAATAACAGCTTACCTACATTAAACAATCTTTTAGCAAGATGTCTTGAGGGTATTTAAAGAATCTTTGTCTGTCTCTTGGTCTTAATCATAAAGAAGTGAGTTAAAGGTAACGGATCTTAAAATAAATAGAAGGGATAAGAATGCATGAC